GAGGATCGCCTGAGGTCAGGGGTTCGAGACCAGCCTGAGCGAGAGCGAGACCCCGTCTCTACTAAAAACAGAAAAATTAGCCAGGTGTGGTGGCATGCACCTGTCAGTCCCGTCTATTCGGGAGGCTGAGGCAGGAGGATCGCCTGAGCCCAGGAGTTTGAGGTTGCTGTGAGTTAGGCTGTCGTCACGGCACTCACTCTAGTCCAGGTGACAGAGTGAGAATCTGTCACAAAAAAAAAAGTCAATTTTGAAATTTAAAAATTATATAAAGGCAAATCCCCAAACCAAAACATATCCTTCACTGCAGACATTATGAAGAATATAAACAGTATAAAGAGAAGAAAAGAACAGGAAGTTAGGAAAACTGAAGTATTCCAAGCACGTTTTGTTCTCAATAACAACTTTAAGATTTTTTGCTTCAGGTAATTCTAACCAGGTAATTAAACTGAACCTACTGGGAATGGTCAGAGGATCTGGACAAAATATCGGAACCTTCTGTTTCAGGACGCAGAGGGCAGCGTGGGGACGGGGACGGGGACAGGGACACTGCCAGGGAGTGCGGCCTTTGCTCCAGAGATGCCGTGGGTTTGAGAAGGGGCAGCTGAAGCAAAGGACCACAACACACCTCACAGGCTTTTTGTGGGGCCCCAAAGGACTACACCTTACGCGTGAGGATGGCCAAACCCAAACTCCCCTCAGGAGGCCCGACACCCAAGTCCAAATCAGCTCAAAACGTGACTAGATCAAAACGATTAAGGAGTCTTCATGCCTCTGGGCAACTACGAGAAGCAAACAAGACCCGTCTGAGGGAACATGTCACCATTCCAGACCCCACTGCGTCTCTACAGCCGGCTGTACACACAGCCGGACACGCAACCTGAGACGCTGGGGACACAACTTGACAAAAAGAAACCGAGAGAAACAACAGATAGGGGAGATCTAGCCAAAGCCTCAGACAATGGTCTGATCAGTCACAGACTCTAAAGTAATTCTACTATGTGCAGAGAAAAGATAAGACTGAGAAATTCTGTGGGAAACTATGGAAAAGAGCCAAACGAAAATGTCAGGACTGAAAATCGAATAGATTTTAAGATCCAATATATGAGTTTAAAAGCTGATTATTTTGTGGGTAAAGTGCAAATGACTGAAGTGGGTGACAGATCAGAAGAAAATAGTCCACACCCAAGCAAAGAGAAATAAAAGGAACACACACACACACACACACACACACACACACACACAGAAAAAGAACCTAAGAAATGCAGAGGACACGGAAGACTGATCTAACACACGTGGTACTGAACTCCCAGACAGATTACATGGAGAGGCTGAAATTTGCAGAAATGAAATAATAATGAGGTCTAAGAATTCATAAAAGTGTATAAAAAAGATTTAAGAACTATGAATTGCAAGCAGAATAAATGAAAACAAAAGGGGCCACAAACAATTCAGAACTAAACTTCAAAAAACCAAAGACAAAGAGAAAATTGTAAAAGTATCCAGAGAAAAAAGATCATCTCCAAGGAAGGAACAATGGGGCTGACAGCTAATTTTTGGAGATTAACAATGGAAGTCAGAAGATAATGGAATGGTATCTTTAAGGTGCTGAAAGAAAATAAATGCAAACCTAGAATTCTCCATTCAGTAAAAACAACCTTCAAAGATTAATGTAAAATCACATTTTAGACAAAAATTGAGAGGACTCATCACCATTAGACCTGTATTAAACCAAATATTGAAAGAACGCCATAGATGAACTTTCAAACATACAGAAATGAATAAAAACTAGTTTTTATTCATTTCTGTATGACATTGTGAGTTTTAGAAGACATCTAAAACTCACAATGTCTTCTGAGTTTTAGATATAAATACAGGTCAAAATAGCATATAAGTTGGAAGTTAAAGTATTTGAAGACCCTTACATGGTCTGGGAATAGGCAAAGGTACTAATTTAGATTAGGCTCTGATAGATTAAAGATAGCTATTGCAGTCCCAAGGCTGTTCAGTAAAGAAATGGCAAACCAGTGATTACCACTCAGGAAGAAAAGAAAAAAAAAAATCATTAAAAAAAATCTAAATAAAAAAAGCAAGAAAAGGTAATTAGAATAGTTGGGATAATCAGAATTCACAATGATGGCATAAGGCACATGACATGTTGATAACTACATTAAATGTAAGTGGAACATACCACGATTGTCAGACTACATATCGAAACGTGTGGGATGCAGTTGAGGGGTATATGGAAGGGAATCCATAGCTGTAAATGCATGTGTTGGAAGAGAAAGTTGGAATCAACGATCTAGGCATCTATCTCATAAAGCTAGAAAAGTAACCACAAATTAAGCCCAAAGAACATAGAAGACAAAACAATAAAAATAGTAGAAATTAATAAAACAGATATTCAACAGATAACTTTCATAAATCCAAAGACTGATAAAACTGATACACCTCTGGAGAGACTGACTTAGAAAACCTAAAGCAAAGCAAAACAACAACAGAAAAAGGGACGCATACATAATCGATTAAACTGTCATGGAGACACCGACAGAGTCTCTGTTTTCTGGTCCTGTAAGGCTTACATGTGTCTCATAAATCTTTTCTTTTACCTATTCAACATTAATTGGTGGGAATGTAATGCAAAGTAACACAGCCTCTCTGGAAAACGGCATGGAGTTTCTCAAAGAACTAAACACAGGCCTACCACTTGGTCCAGTCTTCCACTGCTGGGATCTCCCCAAAGGAAAGGAAGTCGGTATATCAAAAAGACACCCGCAGGCCGGGTGCGGTGGCTCACGCCTGTAATCCTAGCACTCTGGGAGGCCGAGGCGGGCGGATTGCTCAAGGTCAGGAGTTCAAAACCAGCCTGAGCAACAGCGAGACCCCGTCTCTACCAAAAATAGAAACAAATTAATTGGCCAACTGATATATATATAAAAAATCAGCCGGGCATAGTGGCGCATGCCTGTAGTCCCAGCTACTTGGGAGGCTGAGGCAGGAGGATCACTTGAGCCCAGGAGTTTGAGGTTGCTGTGAGCTAGGCTGACGCCACGGCACTCACTCTAGCCTGGACAACAAAGCGAGACTCTGTCTCAAAAAAAAAAAAAAAAAAAAAAAAGACACCCGCACTTGTGTGTCCATCACAGCACTATTCCCAATAGCAGAGATGCGGAATCAGCCTAAGTGTCCACCAGCGAATGGCTGGACAGAGAAGCTGTGGCACACGCACACCACGGAGGACCACTCAGCCATAAAGACAACGGAATAACGCCCCTGCAGCAACCTGGAGAAACTGGAGGCCGCTATCCTAAGCGAAGCATCTCGGGCACAGAAAATCAAATGCCGCGTGTTCTCACTCATGAGCGGGAGCTAAACAACGGGTCCAAACGCCGCACGGAGCAGAACGCAGACACTGGACACTCCCGGGGGCGGGTGGGGCCGGGCGTGAGGGTGAAAAGTCGCCTGCTGGGTGCCATGTGCACTGTCTGGGTGACGGGCGCACCGAAGGCCCAGACTTCAGCTCTACCCGATACTTCAACATAACAAAACTTCACTTGTACCCAAAATACCTATAAGAAATACACTAAAAAAGTAATTGTAAAGGGTGAAGATTTCAAAGACCTTTTAGAATACGATGAAGACACTAGGAAATACTGCAGGTCACAGACAAATGATCTGTTCTCACTGAACCGCACGGCAGGTCCTAGCTCGTGCGCACATCAGGGCTCCGCCTGCGGCATGGACAGGCGCCAACCTGCGGCCACGCTGCGAGGCGGCTGCATGCAGGGAAGCCCAGCCGCCAGAGAGCGGCCTGCAGACAGGGGGCCTCCGGCGCCCCGCCCTGCCGCGGCGCAGGGGTGCAGACGCTTCTCTTCTTGCTCGTGGGCTTCAGAGGAGGCGGCTGCCCCGCGTTACTTCCCAGGAGCCCTGGTCCCTGTGGGAAGCGCGCACCTTGCCTGTGTCCAGCGTTCCCACGGCACGCGTGAGTCCCACAGACACCGGGTCGGGCAGAGGCCTGGGAGCCTGCCCGCGCACCGGGGGTCAGGTCCTGGGCGTGGCGCTTAACATAACGAGCTGTCACCAGGAAGCACACAGATGCACACCAGGCCCAGGGTTCCCACAAGTCAAGATCTGGGGGTGACGCTGGGAGCAGACACCCGGTGCTGGAGCCGGTGCCCGTGGCGGGGGGCACACCGGCTCAGACGGCACAGACAGCTGTGCTGTGACCGGTCCTTGGAAGGTGCGTCACTCTCATTTTTCACACGAGGAAACGGCAAGTAGAACGGTCACCTGGCCAGTATCGAGTTCTGGCTTCCCTTGGAAGAAAACAGACCACAGCCATGCCGGTCATGCAGCCAATGTAGGAGGCAAAAACGGAGGCCGAGAGAGCAGACGTGAAAATGAAGCTGTTGGCCACCGTGTAGCGTGTGTCTCTTTAGCCACGGGCTGTCCTGCAAGCTGACACCTGCTGTGACGGCGCTCACAAACCGCTCCCAGAAGAAGAGTCTTTGCAAACCTTAGGGCAGCACCCACAGGTGCCGTCCACCGTGCGTCTGGCGTGCTGCATGGTTTAACACTCTGCGTCTGTGAGGAGCACTGCCACACAGCCTCCCAGACAGCTGCGTGCCCCCGGCTTTGACAACACTGACCCCGCAACCCCGGATAAAGATAAAGCCACGGACTCCGGCTCGCCTCTAAGGCTGGACACGGGGGACCAGAAACGCAGACACAGAGGGACACTGACTGTCCCCACCGGGGGGCGGGTCCCACCCCCGGCCCGCTTCCAGGGAGCCGAGCACAGGTGACAAGGCGAGAGCCCCTGTGGCGAGGCCGCACTGATGGCCCCGTGCCCGCACCGTGCCCGCACCCGTCCCTTGTCCCACGCCCGTCCCCATCCCCACTGTCCCGCACCCTCCCCGCACCTGTCCCTTGTCCCCACGCCCGTCCCATCCCCACACCTGTCCCCGTCCCCACACCCTGCCCCACTCCCACACCGCACTCACTCTCTTTGCCCTTCTCCTTGTTCTTGAGCTGCTGCAGCTTCTGCTCGCGGTGCTGCTTCTGCAGCTCCTGCTCCTGGCGGTGCCGCTCCAGCTTCCGCTGGTGCTCGAGCAGCTCCTGCTGGTGCTTCATGGCCAGCATCTCCTGCTGCTGCTGCGGAGGGAGACAGACGTCAGAACCAGGCCCCAGACAGGCGACCCACGGACACCAGGCCAGCCCGGCCCGCATGCCTGCCCTGTGCCACCGGGGACCCCAATCCTGGCTGCACGGCCCGGTTCCGGCCCATGAGAGAAATAAGCGCTGCTTCAGACCCCGCCTGAATGTCCTCTCACCTCTTCGGTGGCAAACATGAAAATAAAAGCCCGTGAAGTGCTAGAAGAAAACACCCACCGAGAGCCACATGTAACCTTGCAAGCCGGCAACGCCTCTCTGAGAAAGGCACGGGGAGAGTGTGACATGGCGCACCCACTTGGGGAGCTGCTGCCACTGTCTTGCAAAGTCAAAGGCACGTCTGCCCTAGGACAGAACGACCCTCCCCGGCTACCTGTCCAGGAGACGGGAAGCACACGGCAGACACCTGTGCAAGGACGCACACGGCTGCTTTAGTCACAGCCCTGCCTGAACGCCACCTGCGTGTCCCTCAATGGCGAGACACGACGGCCCGTGTGCACGGAGAATCCACAGGAGAATACTACGCAGCCCTAAATATAACACATGGAATATATCGAGAGGAACAGTGAAGGATCTCAGGCAAGTCTGAAACCACGGTGTCGGCCCATGGGCGTGCGGGAGAGAGAGCAGAGTCAGATCGCTGGCTCCTCCCAGCCCCGGGTTCCCATCCGTGGTCAAACCAGCAGACGTGGAACCCAGATCACGGAGGGCTGACTGCATTCATATCAAGTTCTGGAACAGGAATAACTAAGGTGCGACGATGAAAACCAGAAGAAGGCCGCCTCTCGGGGTGAGGCAGGAGACTCAGGCGGGAGGGAATGTTCCGGGTGCCGGACTTTCTGCCCTGCTGAGCTGGAGTCTGCAGGAGCCCACGGCTGTCACCCCCCCACAGCACACGAGAGAGCTGCGCGTTCTGTTGTGTGTAAACCACGTCTCATATTTCAAAGTATGACAGAGTTGACTACATTAACATTTCTGTCTTTATTCAAGTAAAAATTAAAATGCAAAAGGTAAATGAGGAACCCCCTTTGTCATGTTAATGACACACAGGCAAACTACAGGTAAATGGTTACCAGTACTAAGAACATGGTAAGCAGCCCACGGGAAAGGGGGCCGGAAAGAACAGGACCAGCCCGGGCAACGCATTAAGACCCGTTTCTACAAAAAAATTAAAATATTAGCCAGGCGTGGTGGCACCCACCTGTAGACCCAGCTACTAGGGAGGCTGAGGCAGGTGGATCACCTGAGCCCAGGAGTTCCAGGCTGCCATGAGCTGTGGTGGTGCCACCGCACTCCAGCCTGGGCGACAGAGCAAGATCTCATCTCTCTTAAAGAAAAAAAAAAACCAATGGGGAAAAACGTTCAACCTCAGCACTGGCAACCAAATCCCATTTTCTCTCTGTACAAGGCCCAGTGCCGACCAGAGTGTGGGCACGGTCTGGTTACCCAGCAGCCCCTGGGGCTGCCCTTCCACTTTCTCAGGACTGGGCGTAGGTCCCCACGCGTGCTCCCGTTCTCCCGCCCGGGGCGCCGGCTCCTGCACAGCCCCGGACTGCACGGAGGAGCGCGCCCAGCGTGAGCCGCCCGCATGCGAGAGCCGCCCTCGCCCCCTTGGGCGTGCCTGGCCCCGCTGCCGTCCTCATTGGCATACACGGCCAGCCCCCTCTCCTGTGGGGCGTCTGTGGCTGTCTTGCTCCCTCAGTGGGAGGAGGAGGGTGGGGACAGAGAGCGGGGTCAGCTGGCAACCACAGCACCCCAGAACCTTCCGAGGGAAGCGCAGCACACAGGTGGGACAGGAGGAGCGGGGCTTCCGCCGCCGGCAGCGCTGCCGTGGGGAGGCTCAGGCCATGGAAGACAAGCCGGGCCGACGGAGTGAGCGTGCGCGGCAGACGTGCACCCCGGGCCCCGGTGTGGCTGTGCAGGCACCTCGCGCGCCCCTCTGTGCTCTCCTCGGTTCTCTGACGGACTCGCCTCGCTTCAGAGCAACAGGCTGTAGCTGAGGAAGTAGACGTGGGTTAAAGGTAAAAAAGAAAAAAAAAAAAACAGACTAAAAGGACCAGGACACGCAGGGCAGCCTGCACAGCGTGGGGCTGGCGGGGCCAGTGCTTGGCCCCCCAAGAGCTGACTGAGGGGTCCAGGGCACCGGGCGTCTCGCCTAAGAGCTCCCTATGGGAAACCTGCATTTCCGGCAGCCTCCACAGGACCCAACGGCTGCTTTAGTCACAGCCCTGCCTGAACGCCACCTGCGGTCCTCATGCGAGCACACGGCACGGCCCGTGTGCACGGGAGAATCACACAAGGAGAATACTAGCCAGCCATAAAAAACATGCGATATACGAGAAGAACAGTGAAGGATTCCAGCAGCTGAACACAACGGTGTCGCGACCACAGGCGTGCGGAGAGAGGCAGAGCAGAACGCGACGCCTGCCCCCAGCCCCGGGCTACCAACACCGCGGTCAAACCAGCAGACCGTGACCCCAATCACGGAGGGCGGACGGCATTCATATCAGTTCTGGAACAGGAATAACTAAGGTTCCGACGATGAAAAACCAAAGAGGCCGCGCCCTCGTGGGTGAGGCGGGACTCCAGGGGGGGAATGTTCCGGGTGCCACTTTCTGCCTGCTGGAGCTGGAGTCTGCAGGAACCCACGGCTGTCACCCCCCACCAGCCACACGAAGAGCTGGCGTCT